GCCATCTGGAAGATACTTCACTGTGTAAACCCACTTACACCCAACAGCATGCTTACTAGGAGGAAGAGCAGTAAGTTCTCATGTGTGATTGTGTTGTAGAGTAGAGAGTTCCTCTTCCATGGCTTGCCGCCACCCTGGGGAGGTAAGGGCTTCCTGGACAGTCTTGGGAATGGAAACAGATGATATTAATGATATAAAGTTGCGATGAGAAGCAAAAAGGTGAGCAGCTAAAACACAGTGTGAAATAGGATGAGAAGTACAAGTGCGTTTACCTTTCCGCAGGGCAATAGAAAGATCAAGGTCTAAGGGAGAAGAAGCAATGACATGATCTGTCAACGAGGGCTGAATTGGAGGAGGGGCCGGTGCTCTTCTATGAGTGTACACTTGTTTGATTGGTGGCCTCTCAGTAGTAACTGGCATGGGAGGTGAATCTGCAATTGGAATGGGAACCACGGGAAGGGGATCCGCAACAGGGACGAGAAGAGGAACTACGGAGGAAGGAGAAGAAACCATAGTATCCGAGAAAAAAGGAACTGATTCAAAGAATGTGACATCGGAGCACACAAATGACTTATGGAAGTTAAGGTTATAGCACTTATATTTCTAAGTCCTTGAGTAGCCAACGAAGATACACTTAATAGCTCGTGCATCTAACTTGTCTAAACCAGGCCCCAAGTTTTGAACAAAACAAACACATCCAAGGACTCTTGGGGTGAGAGGAAACGGAGACAAGGTGGGAAACAACACCGAGAAGGGGGATTGACTTCCAAGGATGGACATGGGCATCCGATTGATGAGAAAACAAGATGTTAGGACAACATCACTCCAAAAATTCTTTGGGACATTCATATTAAGCATCAAAGACCGAGCAGTTTCAAGGAGATGTCGATTTTTTCGTTCAGCTACACCGTTCTATTGTGGGGTGTAGGCACAAGAAGTTTGATGAATTATCCCATGGTGCTCTAAGTATTGCTGAAATGGTGTTGAGGTGTACTCTTTGGCATTATGGAGCAAAGAATTTTAATATGAACACCAAATTGGGTATGTATTTCAGCATAATTTTTTTGAAAAATAGAAAACAATTCACTGCAATCTTTCATAAGATAAATCCATGTCATCCTTGAAAAGTCTTCAACAAAAATTACAAAATACTTATAGCCATTGTATGACATCACTTTGATCGGACCCCAGACATCATAATGAACTAAAGAAAAATGACTCGAGACACGACTATCAACTCTTGGACTAAAAGAGACTCTATGATGTTTCCCAAGATGACATGACTCACAATCCAAAGATGAAAGATGACTCAAGGAAGGAACCAGCAACTTCAGAGCCTTGAGAGAAGGATGACCAAGTCTGCAGTGCCATTGAAGAGGAGTAAGAGACGACTGAAAAGCTACTGAAGGGCCACCACCATCAAGGTAATACAATCCACCTGCCTCATGCCCTCCACCAATCTTCATCCCCGTCTTGAAATCCTGAAACACACAAGAAGAGGGATAAAAGGTTGTGGAACAATTAAGTGACTTGGTTAATCTACTAACAGACATAAGGTTAAAGGGGAACTTGGGAACATATAAAACAGATGATAAAGGCAATGAGGACATCTATTGAGTCTATAGAGCATTCTTCTCTCTCAGACAGATCTGGTTTTGTGATGACTAGAGGGGGAGGCCGTGGAAATAGAGGTGGTGGTGGTGGTCATGGACTTCCAGGTAACCATGGTGGTCCCATGTTTAACCGTGCTGGTGGTCGGAGTGGAGGTCAGGACTCAAGGGGAGGTCGTGGTAAAGGAAGAAGTAATGCCCCTAGGAAGTGTACACAATGTGGATTAGAGGGGCACACGGTTAATTTCTGCTATGATTTACATGGTCCACCCAACACTTAGGCTAACCATGTTGTGACTAAGGATAGTGGTACAATTACTGAAAGTCAGCAAACTAACTCGATTCCCTCCACATCTACTGGTGCTTCTGGGAAGGAGATGGTGAGTGTACCCCGTGCAGTATATGAGCAGTTCCTTCAGACATCTCAACAGAACACAGCTACCCTTGCCCATTCAGGTATGGCTTGCTTGGCTTCCAAGCCTTCACACTGGATCATTGACTCAGGAGCCTCAGACCATATGTCTGGGACTCCTAATGTATTTTCTTCTCTTTCTCGGTCCTCCACATATCAAACAGTTACTCTTGCTAATGGTTCTACATCTCCCATCTGTGGTGTTGGTGATGTTGATCTCTCCTTTCAGTAATTGTACCACTACCCTTAGTCACAGCGTGGTTAGCCCAAGTGTTGGGTGGACCATGTAAATCATAGCAGAAATTAACTGTGTGCCCCTCTAATCCACTGTGTGTACACTTCCTAGGGGCATTACTTCTTCCTTTACCACGACCTCCCCCTGAGTCCCGACCTCCACTCCGGCC